TTAAAGCATTTTTTACTACCGGTTCGGGCAAATAGGTAGTAAAAAATGCTTTAAAAATTAAAAAAGGTTGGCCACGCCCACCCACTCACATGATCCCACCACCACCAAGCCATACCCAGAGAACCGTTGGCAAAAAAAATATTACATTTTACCACTGAGCTTTATCCTTTCTCTACCAAGGCTCATGGCAGGAGTGTCCATAGAACTGGTCACTGGCTTCAAGACCGCAGGGCAGACTGTGCAAATGAAGTCCCCTACTTTGAAGTGTGTTTCATTGCATACATGTAAACAGGAACAGGCCTTTGACTGCCCAGTCGCACCTGTCAATTTGAACCCAGGCACTGCTTCTGCACAGGGCCCTGTTCATGGGATAATCCCAAGTCTCACCCTTCCAATCAAAGGTTGTCCTGTTGCATTTACGATGAAGACTCCCCGTTTCAGGCCTTCATCATAGGGCCGATAACTGCCAGGGGGGCTGGCGCTGCTGATCCCTGGATCCTACAACGAAGCAGAGGGAGAGACATCTGTTTAGCCATAATGGATCTGAGGGGAGTATGAAAATGTGAAGGGCACAGGACACAGTTGTCTCAAGCAAGGGAACAAACCACACGCTATTCCAAACCTTGGCAGTACTTCAGAGTTGGGAGACAGATTGATAAAAAAGCACACGAGGCATAGGAAATGAACATGCCTCTATTGATACATGGAGAGTCCAGATTATGACATTTTCACAGCGTGAATAACAGAAGCAAACTTGACATTTTGGGAGGAAGAAGAACAGCCATTACTGAAGTTGGGCAACAGCACACAGATTGTGGATTATCACGTTCTAAATGCAAAACATGGATGGAACATTAAAAGGTCATAAAGAGAGCAACCCGTTACGGGAGTATGGAAAGTCATTCATGCCACTGTTGCTTTTCTAAAAGTCTAAATATATGAACATGTGAAGTCCTCTGTGCTTTCTAAGTCCGTTTTTCCTTTCTACTCTAAAAAAAGCAGAGATGGGCAATCTGAGGCTTCAGGGCTGAATGCAGTTTCCCAAGCCTTTATTCCATTATTGTTAAAAATCTACAATGTTGGTTCCTGCCATTGGAAACAGAAACCTTCACAATTTAACACAATTTAACAAGAACTCCAAAATCCCTTGGGGGGAAGAAAAAATATCATACCATCCCAATCTTACTGAAACATATAACAAAGCCACACTGATATTGTACTATCACCTATCTGTCTCCCTTCCAAATTTTGACAAAGCTACTTTCTTTGTTGTCCGGAATAACAAATAATTTTTCCATTCACATGAACCCACCTATTAAAAGATCGCAAATGTGACAGAACACAGGTCTTATTTTCTTTTAACCCCCGAAATAAGCGCTTGGCCTTATTTTCAGGGGAGGTCTTATTATTTTTGAGATGCAGGAAGCGGTGAGCATGGTCACCTCATGGCTGCTGCAGTGTTGCAATATTTTTGGGGAAGGCTTATTTTCAGGGGAGGGCTTATTTTAGCACATGCACTCAAAAGCCCGATTGGGCTTATTATCTGGGGAGGTCTTATTTTCAGGGAAACAGGGTAGTCCTTGACTTACAACCATAACTGAGCCCAAGATTTCTGTTGCTAAGTGAGACATTTGCTAAGATAATTTTGTCCCATTTTACGACCTTTCTTGCCACAGTTGTTAAGCGAATCACTGCATTTGTTAAATTAGTAACACAGTTGTTAAGTGAATCTGGTTTGCTCACTGACTTTGCTTGTCAGAAGGTCACAGAAGATGATCACATGACTCTGAGACACTGTAACTGTCATAAATAGGAGTCAGTTACCAAGCTTCTGAATTTGATCACATGACCACAGGGATGCTACAATGGTTGTGAGTGTGAAAAATGATCGTTTATAACTTTTTTCAGTGCTCTTGTAACTTCGAGCAGTCACTAAACGAACTGTTATAAGTTGAGGATCACATGTATTAGTCTGACTCAGAGAAGGGGAAGAATACTGAGAAAATATATTTGAGTCCTGAAAAATAGAAAGCTGGAAAGCAGCTCAAAAGAACTTTGCCTTGATTGTGTTAGGTATAAGTTGAAATACTGACAAGCTTTCAAGATTTTGTCAAATTACCCTAAATGCATTAAATTACATTCCAATATTTCTAGCAACTGATCGGGCTTTCTCAAATATAGGCTGACATATGACAAGGAACTCTGCCTTAGAGTAGGGGTCTCCAACCTTGGCAACTTTAAGGCTTGTGGACTTCAACTCCCAGAGTTCCTCAGCCAGCTGGCAGAGGAACTCTGGGAGTTGAAGTCCGCAAGCCTTAAAGTTGCCAAGGTTGGAGACCCCTGCCTTAGAGAATCTCCAACAAAACTAGGAATCTTTTCTAAACCAGAAGACCCAAGATTGCATTTTCCTTCCAAAAGACTAGTTCCTGCACTAGGGAGGGCTGGCCATAGAACTGCATCATTCATCTACATCTGACCTAGGTCAACTTCAATACAGCAAATATTTTGAACCACTGCAGGACAGCCCCTCAAAGGAGAATTCAGGATTCATTAACTTACCACAATCATGACATACCTCCGGCCATCATGATGAAAATCATTCACCATGTCTGGCATGTCCCTGAAACCATCCTTGTTGAAGGTGAAGTCTCGCTTAGCATCCATATAATCCAGATCATTCCATTGTACGTCCTATGAGCCCAGAAATGAGAGTCTGATGAGAGCAAGTTTGTGTCCCACCTCACTTTTCTCTCTGAACAAATATCTTTTGAGTGTTGCACTGAAATTGAAGCTGTACTATTTCACACAGGTTGGGTATCCATACCACATTAGCCCATGATCTGTTTCATAATGGCTTGTTGAGTGAATTACAATTACCTGAGTTGACATAATCCATTAACCCTCATTTACAAAAAATGATGTCTGAATTCACAAAAGACACCAAGCTAAAATCAACTCAGAAGTTTTGGTAGAATCTCTTTTTATTTTACTGTAATATGTAGGCTTTATTTTAACTATTTATTTATACTTTGCCACTACTACTACTACTACTACTACTACTACTACTACTACTACTACTACTACTACTATTACTACAAATAACTCAAGGTGGCAAATATATCCAACACACCTTCCTCTTCCTATTTTCCCAATAACAACAATCCTGTGATGTGGGTTGGGCTAAGAGAAAGTAACTGGCCTAAGTCACGCAGCTGGCTTTCATGGCTAAGGCAGGACTAGAACTCACGGCCTCCCGCTTTCTAGCCTGATGTCTTAACCATTAGACCAAACTGGCTCTTTTTCGTATAGAAATATTTGCTGGACTGTATCGTTTAAGTTCCCTTCTCCTTTATGTATTCATTAATTTGAACTTGGGCCTATTGCCATTCATTATAATAATTTTGCTGTTTCATCAATCATGTTTCTTAATTTCTGATTACAGGAGATTGCCTGAGCATCGGAAAAGAACCTCTGAACTTAACAAAATAAACTGCATTAGGGCTCAGGGAAATATATGAATCCGTCCAAGGGTCAGAGAGAAGCAATAGTCAGATAGAATTCAGAGAAGGCACCTACCAGAGGAAAAAGAGCTGCGGTCATGTTTTTCACCACTTCCCGAGTAACAGCAGTGGAAGTGTATCCCCAACGACAGAGATGGAATCCGAGAGCCCAATAAGGAGGCATGAATGGGTAGCCTGCAGGAATTTTGAGAGAGAGAGAGGAATCAACATTCAAAGCCTCTCAAAACCATCGGCACTCCCAAATCTATCATAAAAAAAGAATTTCAATAAAATGCTCAGACTATGCCTGAACCTTTCAATACCAGACCCAACCTGGCATAGCTATTTTAAAGGTTATATCTAAGACCCCGTTTTGGGTTGCAGCTTAGGTATATAAAGGGCTGCTTCTAATACCTAAACTAGGTTGGCATATGGAGTAGAAAGAGAGAGAAAGATGTCATTGCAGGCCCTGTGACTTAGACTCTTCACAGATAAAGTTACTTTTTTTAAAATGTACAAAGCACAGATAAAATAGACTTAGCGCATCATTATCAAACTGTGGATTATCATTTCTTCAGAGAAGCCTTTCTTGAGCCTTGCTTATGTTTGGTACAGTGTATCGGCTGGGAATTTCTGGGAACTAAAGATGCTAAGCATTTTAAAAAGCAAACTTCAAAAAGGCAGTTCAAAGGCTCTTCTCAATCTCGTCTGCCTGCCTTTGGGAGTTCAAAAAAAAAAAGAGACATCCTATCTACCCCAAACTATTCTACCATGGTAACTGTTGGGGGGGGGGGGGGGGGAGTTCTTCATGAATGATAAATTTTCAACTATTCCAATTTTTCTTAACCTTGGCAGTTGAAGTCCATACATCTTAAAGGGGCCAAGGTTGAGAAACACTGATCTATTCTTTCCTGAGCACCATCCTGATGTGTGAACTTTAAATCCTAGAATTCTGCAGGCCACTGCTAGGAACCCTGGAACTTTAAGTCCTTATTACTGCCCAGATTGTTGGGGCCAATACGCAAATAAGGCTTCTACATTGTAAACCTCCCAGAGAGTGCTGTAAAGCGCTTGGGGAAGTATATAAGCCTAAATGCTATTATGGGAGAACATCCAGATTGGGTAAGACTTCTAATTAGTGCAACAGAAACCTGAAGCAGGATCCTGTTATTTCTCCCATCTCTCAAACTTATAAGAGCTGCAGCACCAACACACCACACCCTGATAAAAGTCCAGAAGATAAGAAGAGCCAGTTTAAACTATTTTTATTAGGGATTACAAAAGAAAAATATGGCAAAGGGATTATATCTAATGCCACATATTTTAATGGCAGCAAGACTGGGTTTTGCACAAAAGTGGAAAAATAAAGAGACTCCCTCTGAACAAGAAATAATAAGAAAGATACTGACGTGCACAGAAATGGACAGACTTGACTCTAGAGCTCAAAGACAAGGGTGAGACAGAATATCATGAAATCTGGGACAAATGTTATTGATGGTTAGAAAGGAGGGGAAAAATTGGGACAGAAAAACGCAGACAAGTTAAGAATTGGAAAATATGGTATTAAGATTGTGTGATAGGTAGGAATCGGATATGTATTTGTATGGTTAGTAACCAGTTTAAAAAAGGGATTAATGGACAGGTAATCTGACTGACTACACATACCTACGTAAGGGATATAAAATGTAATAGTTGTAGAATCCAAAAACTATATGGAAATGTTTATGCCAGAAATGTCGCACTATGTCCAATGTTTTTAATGTTTATCTAATAAAAAACTGTTTTTAAAAAGAGCCAGTTTAAGCAAGAAGGGATCAGCTGGCAGAACACCTCAGTATTAATGACAAAAGTGGCCAGTGCCTTCAGAAGTGTTTAGTAATCACAAGGAACTACTAAAGAACTTTCTTGAAAGGAACCCAGTCCTCAAAACGCTGCCTAACTTCATGCATGGGAAGGTGCAAATGCTTACCAATAACATCCATATACTGGCGCACCACGCTGCTTGGATCTGGACCCAAGAAGACATAGAAATCCAAGATACCCCCTGTAGTTCTCCATGTCAGAGCTGGACTGGGCTGCAGTAACACATCTACAAGACAAACAATGGCTTGGAAATACTACTAGAAGGACACAGCATACCATCTGTACATTGCAGAAATACTGGCAGGATTTTACTACCACAGCCTCCATACAGCCATTGTATTTCATTATCATACACTCAGCTTTGGTTTGCTGCTTAATGGCTACTCCTGCCTCTATGCTGACAGAAACTGCTGCCCACATTATAGCTAGTTCCCTTTAATAGAAAGAGATACAAATATTGTTCTTTTACATTCAGCCCATGCTTAACTATTGAGGAAAGAAAAGGAAACTTAAATAGCATTTGTCAGATTAGAGTCTTAGTGCAATTAGCATCATGAACAGACTTAATTCTCAACATAAATAGCCAGTGTAAGTAATCACAAAACAGCAGTTAATAGGACAAGCTAAATTGCTGAGACTAAAAAGCAATTACAAGATCCAAACGTTAATTAGTAGACCAGTTTGATTAGTAGACTAATTTGATTCACTGGTTAAGGGACCAGAGTAGAAGCCAGGAGGGTATGAGTTCAAATCCTGCCTTAGCCATGAAGACCAGCTGGGTGATGTTGGGCCAGTTACTTTCTCTCAGCCCAATTCACCTCATAAATAAAAATTAAACAGTCAAAATCTCTGCTCCAAAACATAAAATGGTTCCTTCAAATACACAAGGCTTTGACACGCGCAAATCATTGTTAGGTTATTTTGATTATATCTAAGCTTGGCCTATTAGGAATGTGATCTGATACAATACCTACCCATTGCATTGCTGTTCAGTAAGAAGACTCCGTGGGCCAAGCCACCCTTTTCTAAAGCCACATAGAAGGGGTGTGAACCATACAAATTGGCAGAGGGCTAAAAACACAGAAATAATACTGCATAGGGTCAATGCTGTATTGGACAAAATGAAAACTTCATCAATGCCTTGAGCTTTACCACCTCTTTGGTAGTCTCAAACAAGCAAATACTTTTTCCATGATGATCCCTTTTCACTATTTTTTAAAAAAAATTCAAGTGCCAATTAAATGACAACTTAAAAAGTCTATCAAGCAATTGGATCAAGCAAGCTTTTGACTCTGTTTCCCAGACTTCCACAAAGACAGGGCCAATCTCCAGTGCAGGATTATATCTGCCATGGTTCTTGCCGAGAATGTGGGGTTTCACAGGAAAATGAGATGCTGAGAATTCTCTCCAGAGCTCCCAAAAGCTTTGCCAAGAACTATGGTTCCCATAAGAAGGAGAAATTGCAGACTAAAGCCGATTAAGCAGTAGAATGCCCAGGTGAGATCTGTCACCTAATCTTGCAATGTGACACTATTCAGACTTCCAGCCAAAATACGAAACTTAATTCTATTTTTCATTATTTCTTCTTCGAAAGACCCCATTATTATATGGCCATTGAATATAACTCACATTTCACCAGGTAACTGTATGCTTGTGGGGTTCCTCCCCTTATTATTTCTGTTTTTGCCAACTTTGCACAAAATACTGGAATTATTCCTATGAAATTTGTGCATCAGTGCATGCTAAATCTGATCTTTAGCACTGAGTGCATGAGCTTAAGATGAAATGATGATTGCATAGCATCCTGATTAAATTCTTAAGAGGTCCTGTCCTTTCAGGAAACCTTGCCACCCTCCTGTCATTTACCACAGGTGATATGTCCCGATTCCACAAAGTAATTTTGGTCCAATTGACATTCAGAGTAAGAGGGGTCAGATGTTCACCCAGTCCAGAGATGAAACTTGATGGCAGAGCAGTGGAGATTTGAAGGAACTGGTCAGCATAGAATAGAGGAGCCACAGTAGTATTCAGCCTATTGGGAGAAAGTGGCCACTTCCATCAGCAGTTTACAAATAAGGTCTCCTTTTTCTTTTACTTACCTCAATCTATTTTGGAGGCTGGTTCCAAAATTGTAATCTAATCTGATCTGATCTGATCATCTGATCAACACTGGTTGCATGATGAACTAGGTAGATGACCCCATCCAAGAAGGTGCTACTGCATGCCTGAATTCATTTTTAAAAATTCAATTATGAAATACGAGGTTCCCAGAGAAGCTCCTATCTCCTGTTGTTCAGGATTGGCCAATAAAACTATTTTATTTCAACAAACCTTGCGGATGATTGTGGACATTCATCTATTTATGATTATTTCTGGAACGGTTTCTAAATTGTGTGTGAAAGGTTCTATTTGCGGTTTTCTATTTTTGGTACATGGCCCAGAATTGGCCTGATTGAGGAATGTGAGGGAAAGACCGGAAGAAGGAAATCTGGAGTTATAGATATTGCATGTCAGACAAGATAAAACTCAACTCAGTGGCTCAATAATGCTGGTTAGAGATGTAGTCATTAAGGGCTATTTCACATATTCTATATTAGATGTATTGCTTTATATGCAAAATATAAATTTACGAATGATACAAATACCTATTTGCCTTTTAAGTGTAGGCAAACTCTGGAGTATAATATGAAAATAGTCCATCAACATCTAGAACAGAAGCACTGGTTAGTGCTCTCCCCGCCCCTTCTCTCTCTCTCTCTCACACACACACACACACACAAACACACACACAAACACACACACAAACACACTCACACATTCATTCATTCAGGTTTCCGTATATTATTGCCACACAGCTATTCAACCTTCATTAGGATGATTTTCTGCTAATTAAATACACTGAACTAGAGGAATACTTGGAGGAGCAAAGTCCAGAACTACTTACAGAACTTGGCCATTGGACTGTCGAAAAATGATGAGGCCAAAGGGATCAACAGAGAATTGCACAGAATAGAGAGTTGAGGATTCCCGACTGGTGGTCTTGGGGGCTTCTAAAGGAACTTCATAGCGTTTCCTAGCTGGATCCTTAAGCTGCAGAGGAAGAGACACAAAAACTGTGTGATGCCACTCCAAAACTTGGTGGTTAGAAAAATCCAACCAAGTTTCAAAGGGATTTGGCTTCTACCTCAAAATCATTTGTGAGATGAAAGGAAGGAGGTTGGTATGAAGTTTGAAGTTACAATGAAATCCAGGTTCAAGAGGGTTTTTTATTGTCTGGTTAATCGATTTCTCATCCTTCAATTGATCTAATATGACATTTGATATTCCTGCAACCAGACTGTTATTTTTAAAACAAATATCTATAAGCAGAATCATTTATAAACTGTATAAAATAAACTCAAGGCTGCATTCCTATATAATTTTGCTTGGAAATAAGCATCAATCATTTCTGAATTTGTAAGAAAGCATTTCATTTATGATTTCTGTTTTTAGATATCGGAAAATATATACATATTGAATAATTTAGATACTTACATCATATATACCTGCAATATTTACATAATGTATTTGAAGTATTAGCATATGCTGGATGTGTTTTGGTCACAGAGAAAAGCAAGGAATTAATTATGTATCTAAGCATCACCAATCACACAAAGCCACGCTATGCATTATTGTGATTTATTGAATAAACCATAATTAACTGGATTTACACATATTGTCATTGGCTCAATATCAGCAAGGCAGTATCAAAAACTTCAGTTCTTTGCTGCCATCTAGTGATAGCCTGGGCTAGGTAGAGCAATAATTATGCTTCATACAGTATATTAACTGAGTTTATGCAATATTAAGCTAAAGCCAATAAACCACGTAATACATTAACCTGATGTGCGCACCCAGACACTTATTCACTTCGTTAGCATTTGAAAATATTTTTTTAAATTCTAAGATTCTTAAGAAAGTGAATTCTGGTCCTGGCACATAGCCTGGCAATTACCTTTCCTATTTAAAGGGTTCGAAAGGGATTTATCCTAGGATTAGATCAGGAAAAAGAAAAAATTGAGGATCATGGGCTTCATGGGATCATGATGTCACTAAGAGATAGTTTAGGGACAAAGAACTTGAAAAAAAATCTAGAACTTTGCTGCAATATACTGTATGTTAATAGCAGCAAGAATGCTTTATGCACAAAAGTGGAAAAATTCCCACAATGGGTGAATGGCTGGAAAAAGTGATGGACTAGTAGAGATGGCTAAATTCACTGCTCTAATCAAAGGAAAGAACACAACCAACTTTATTTCTCCTTGGAAATCATTTCTGGATTTTGTGCTTGAGATGGAAAAAAATGAAAGTTTGACTTTGGGTTTTGTGGATTAGATACATTTTTGTTATAGAAATGATTACTACATAGTAAGTATGCAAAAATAAAAAGTTGATGCTGTAATGTTTTTATTTTATTCTACTGTGCTAAAAAGAGTTGGAAGTCAATGCTTTTTTTCCCTTTTTCTCTTTTTAGCTTACATTTCTTCCACCACCACCCCATCCCCGTTCTCTTCCCTATAGTTTATTATGATATAATAAAATTATAACAAAAAACTTAAGATATGGATTCAGTGAGAAATTAAGAGTGGAAATGGAAGTTAGAAGCCCCAATGGAGAGGCGAAATTGCTCCATCTCTATTATTAAGTAGCCCAACTTTGAAAAAATGATGAGGGATGATGGCATTAAGAGGAGGCACAGGAACAGTTTGCCTCACAAAAGCTCCCCTCTTTCATTCTCATTCTCTAATCCCCTTCCCCATAATATGGATTAAAATCAAATTTTGGCTTTGGCAAGGTTCATCTTATCTCCTTTAGATCTTGTGTGCCCATTTTCGATTTTTGCGGCTTTCTGTTCTTAGAAAATAACAAAACAAAGTTCATTATATCGCAATGTGGTCATTTTGCCACCAGGTTTTAATGTCACAATCTCAGAGAGCTGGGGAGTTACAAAGATCTTCCGTCTTTGGTTAATGTCAGAGTATCTTGGACTTCCTTTAAAAAAAACAAAAACCTACTCACCGTGAAGTGAAGCCTTCCCTTGGTTTCAAAGATCACATCCAGCTGCACATACATGATGTCATCTGGCATGAAAGAAGGGACACTGCGGACCAAATGGGCAGTGTAGCCAGTCTGGGTGGCAATTAGGTTTGTCATCTTGTAACTAGAGTAATTGGTAGGAAAGAAGCACCATGGCTCTTTGGAAAAGCCCGGGACATAACAACATCCCCGAGCTTGACAATCATCTTGAGATAGAAGCTTCTCTGGGGCACAGTCAAAGCGGCTGTCTGGAGGGATGTTGCATTGCTTAGACAGCAACAGGGGTTCCAACTGTTGTTCTACTTTCTGTTGTGGTACCTCCGAAATCCTGCCATGATTCTTACCCCAGTGATCATTCTCTCTTTTAGAAGCAGCTACGGCTGCCTCTGAGGTCCTAGATAGTCCAAGCAGAGTGATCACAAATGCTAGAGTTGAAATCACCAGCATTGTTGTGCGCTTCTTCTTCCACCACAACTTCTGTGAGGCGTGGAGGGAGTCATGTGATTCAACAAGCAGGAGTTTGTCCCTCAGGAAGTATAAGACCGGTCGTCTCCAGCTGCAGAGGACATGCAGTTCTGACACATTAATTCCTGGCTTGTGTAAGATACATTGTCCAAATTGACTGTTCTTCAAAACCTATCCCTTGTATTCAAGTTGGGAAGTCCCAGATGGATGGATGTCAGAACTAAAAAATTTAAAAGTTACTCTTCTATATTCAATATTAATTCCAATTAAAACAATGTTCCCCCACTGTTGCGGCTCAAAAGGCAACAGGCCTATTGCTAATTTTTCCTTCTATGCTGTATCAATCCTGTAAAACTACAGGTACTGATTTCCTACAGGAACAAATTTGACAACAGTCTTGAAAACTTGGGCATTACTTGGAACAGAGAAACCAAGACAACAGTTAGAATTTCCCTATAGGCAAAACAGATCCCATGTTGCCTATAGAGATATTCTTATCATTATGTTATGACTCAGGATACAATCTATTATTTCAAGAGTGATTATATAATATTTGTTGGAGATTATTGTTTTATTATTTAGAAAACATAGTGATGAGAATACAACAATGTTCTATCAATATTAATTATAACTGAGGGTGCTGTTTTTCCAAGCATAGATTTCTAACTACCTTTTTGGTCTCTCAGTGGTGATTTGGTAAAGAGGTTGGTGGCACCAAGCTAGAAAGTGGGAGATCGTGACTTCAAGTCTCACCTTAGGCATGAAGGCCAGCAATGTAATCTTGGACCAGTCACGCTCTCTCTCAGCCCAATCCACCTCACAAGCTTGTTGCTGTGGGGAATAGAGGAAGAGGAAGGTGCGTTGGATATATTCACTGCCTTGAGCCATTTGTGAAAATAAAAAAGGCAGGATACAAACAAACCAACAAATAAATTTGTGAAAATGTGATCAGTGTAAGAGAATCAGTGTCCACCATGGACCTCACCTCGTTCCTAAGAGATCTGTAAGGGGGGCGTGCATAAGCTCACCAGAGTGCCTACCATCCCTGTCCTATTGTCCCCATTTATTTGTATTCATTTCTTATGTATATACGTATACCTGCTTATACTTATATGATATATTCATGCTTATACTTGCTTTCTCATACATGCTTGACAAACCAAGGTAAAAAAATAAAGCAAAAGGAGAGCCATGTGCTTCTGCAGTAGCTAACAATCAGGAACCTGACAGCATCTTTTCAAACTGACAAATGTTATTAAAAGACATAATTAAGCCTTTGCGAGCTACAGCTGACTTCCTCAGCTGCATCTGACGAAAGCTTCTGCCATAACACTTGTTAGTCTGAAGACGTGCTACTACCAGATTCCTTCGAATTAGTGTGAAAATGTGCAGGGTTTTCCCCCCTACTTGTTGACCCTGGCCAAAGTAAATCCCACAGTAATCTTGTCGCCTCGCTCACCCCACCCCACCCCCTGATTCACAATTATCCTTAACTGTGCCAAAAAAACAAACCCAGCAGGATTTCGGCCTTTTAAAATAGTCACTTACTCGAACAGGCAGAAAATCCCGCAATCGGCCCCACGCGAAAGAAGCAGGAAGAGTCAAGAGTTTCCAACGGGTCACGTGAGCGGCGGGTCACCTGACGAATTCTCCTCCTTCCAGGACGGGCTGGATTTCGTGCGTTTTTTCTCCCTAGGCGGGCTCGCCGCGTGGGTTGGAGCTGCTGGAGGTGAGCTCCCTGCAAATATCCAGCAAAAGGGTTCGCTTTCCCTCGCTGCCATCTGAGTTTTTCTCTTTGTCGTCCGGATTTTTTTTTATTATTTTTTTGCAGTCCGGAGATCGTAGGGCCATAGAAAAGGGTTTCGGTTGGAAGGTCCGGTCTTGGGTTTCTCCATTAAAAATTATTTAAACAAGGCGACGACACGCAATGGAAGAGCTTCTCCCGTGCAAACATTTTAGAGGGTAGGAGTATTTTTCTTAGAGAAAGGAGGAGAAATCTGCAAAACGTTTGGACGGGTCCGTCTCTTTTCACACGTTATCACCCTGTTAACAAAGAAACCCCCCCCCCCCTCCGCAGCTATTTCCAAATCTTGTGTTTCGTTTAGAGTTTAGGGGGCTTTGGGTGATAATAATGAAAACATCCATTCTGTTCCCATTTACTTGCAAACGAAAGGTCTGCTTTTTAAATTGCTTATTAAAGAAATGTGAAGAATGGTTGCAGGAACTGGATATGTCTAGTTTAATGAAAAGAAGGACTAGGAGAGACATGATAGCAATGTTCCAATATCTCAGGGGTTGCCACAAAGAAGAGGGAGTCAGACTATTCTCCAAGGCACCTGAGGGTAGAAGAAGCAGCAATGGGTGGAAACTAAGGAGAGAAACAACTTAGAACTGAGGAGAAATTTCCTGACAGAACAATTAATTAGTGGAGCAACTTGCCTCCTGAATTTGCGAATGCTCCAACTCTGGAAGTTTTTAAGAAGATGTTGGACAACCATTTGTCTGAAGTGGTGTAGAGTTTCCTGCCTAAGCAGGGGGTTGGACTAGAAGACCTCCAAAGTCCCTTCCAACTCTGTTATTCTAAATGCCAGGACAATTCTTGGGAATTCAGTTCAAGTAATATTTGGAGGGGGGTAATTAAATGCTGTCAACTTTTTG